GGGGGGTGTTTCTTAAGCAAAGTAGCCATCTGTGAATTCTGTGTAGAATAAGTCCCAAACTGCAAAGATTATCATCAGTCCAGAATTCTTCCCAACAAGGCTTCTCAACACTCAAAAAACATGTTTTTTGACCATTTTTCAAATATTTTGAAATATTCTTTCTATTCCTAGTGTGCAAATTAAACCCATATAATGTGTTAGATTTTAACCTTTAGAAAGTAGACCAGCCTTTATACAGAACATTGAAATGAATATTAAAAAGCCTTTATTTTCTCCTTGTAAGTGAATGCTTGCCATTCACTCCATTGAGGGACGGTGAGGGACTTGCAGACATTTCTATGATGGAATTAAAGCATGCATATGAACCCTGACCCTAGATGGCCAAGGCTCTGCAGCAGTTCAGTGGGAACACATCACAAGATATCTTGCGCTATGCAGCCACTTTTCCCACAATCAGCTACCATTGCTTTATTTATAATGTACCACTCTTTGGGGTTGTGTGTGCTACATTAACATGAATATTGCAAACAATTGCAGTACTTTAAGGATTTGCAGTTTAAATCAAGGACAGCAAAAAACAGGGATAAAATAATATATTCCACAACTGAATGTTGTTTCCTCACCTATTGAATCAGACCAGTTAAGACTAACACCAATTAGGATTAAGATTTATAGATGATGTTTGACAGTCATAACAGGCATTTTGCAAACAAGTTCATAATGTTTTTCTTTAAAAAAATACTTGAGGACAAACAAACACAAAAGATATAATTACATAATTAAATGATATATGGATGATATTTGGCAGTCAGAATAATTGTTCAGCAAAGGTTCATTGGTATTTTAAAAAAATAAGTACAAATAAACACAAAGGCTATGACAACATAAATGAATACAACTATACCATGATCATACTTGGCAGTCAAAATGGTTTTGCAAAGATTTTCATAGGATTTTTTAAAAAAGAAATTTTGAATACAAATCAACAAAGGAGGAGGAGGAGAACTAGATATGTAGAAAAGCATAACCTAATCAGAACTAATGACTAGTAATGTTAACAGTACTGCACTAATGGTGCCAAATAATATAGCATTTTAAAAATTATGCAGGAATCTGAAAAATAGAGGGCACGACTGATAATAATGTTACAGCTGGTATTTGGAAAGATGTGTTTTGTACCATGCTAGCCAGCTTCTTTTCTTCCTGCTGCTGTAGGCACAAAATCTGTTAGAATTGGCTTAGTCAACAAAGAAATGAGGTCTGTTTACAATGCTGTCACTTGATAAGCCAGTTAAAGTAATAAGGAAACTTTCAGGCTTCTATAGCTGTATTGCAGCACATTTCTAGTACTACTACTGCTGCTACTACTAATACTAATAATATGCTTACTTAGTTTTTTTTGCTACTTAATTGATTTGAGGAGTTTTAAATCACTGCAATACAGCTACAGCTGTCTTTGGCTATAAGAAAAACAACAGGAATTGTACACGATCATGAGAATAATTAGTCATTTGTAATGAAGATGGATGCTTGAGTCCAGGGAAAGAAGAAAGCAGCAGCAGGCTTCATGCCTGCTGTAGGGTCTGTGGTTCTCTTGATTGCCACATGGGGATTCACATGGGAATTCACAAAAAGATTTGTTGATGTTTGCTGTCTGTTATAGCTTTAAAGGGGGCTGGATGGAATCATGGAAGATGGGGCTTTTAATATTTGCCAGCCATGATGGCTATATAAACTCCCTCCAGAACCAAAGGGAAGATAGGATGGCAGGGATTCTGCATTATGAGACATAACATAAACTAGCTCCATATTAGAACTATGAAACATCACCCCATCCCTCCCATGCAACTCACTTTTCTGCTGTAGTGTCCCTCTCCACAGCCATTTAGTAGCTGGAAAAGAGCAAGTGACATCTGAGAAGCATCTAGCTATCTGCTATGTACTGGCCAGTGGAGGGTGGAGCAGCCGAGAAATGATTGGTTATATGACTGTGGCTAGATGCAAAATGATGACATAAGACATTATTGCATAAAGGTAGAAAAGTGGAATTAAAGTGGGATAGTAGCATCAGTGGCTGAACCTTATCAGACGACATCATTACTAACCTGTAGCTGGTCTGTAGTCCACCTGTGGCTATGGCACACCTTTTCGTTGTTGGGCAATGCCTATCAATAACTACCAATCATGCTTCTGTAGCATTAGTCCTCCCATTCCATAAGCTTGCAGCTGCAATTCTGGGATTGGTCAGTCATGTAGTCTCAGTCTCCTCCTCTCTCCCCACTCCCCCTTGCTAGTCCTGAGCACATTGGTTTTCTCCTTTTCTCAATGAATTATCTTTTCTTCCCCCCCCATCACATTGCCATAGTTGCTAAAGTGTGTTAAAAAGAGAAATAAAATAGAAATAAAAAAGCAAAAGGCATGCTAGATACAGCAATTGGGCAGCGAGTTGGGATTAGGAGCAGTCTGGAGAAGAGAGTGTGGAACTGTCCATGGCACCAACAGCCCCATTCCCACAACTGAATACATATGCAATAAGGAGTACTTCTCTGAAACCAGTATGTATGTATTTCCTTTCATTGACATGATCACAGTGAGAATGGGGCTCATGCAACAAAGTCCATAATCTTCCTAAAATTCCAGAGGACTCTGGAAGGTCCTGAAAGTTTCCGTTATCCTTAGGCATCTGGTTAAAGCAGGGGTAGGCAACCTAAGGCCCGGG